GGTGTTGACTGCATACGAAAGAAGCCCATGGTAACTAGTGATGATGAGGAGAGCTATGCTACAGAAAACAACTTTTTAAAGTCATCCATGAAGACAATCAAGAAAGCAGTGAAATTGTGAACAGAAGTTCAGTTCCTCTTGTGTATCATTGGAAATGTGTATTGATTCTTTTCCTTCTCCATTGTTTTTACTATAATTTTTTCCTTAGGTATATATATATTTTTTCCATTAGAGTCTAAGCAAAGGCAACATGCCTTAAGCTTTGAATAACTGTGTCAAGCTTGGCTATTCTTTTATTGTCTTTGATTTGTGTATAAGATTGATTTGTGTGAGACGCTATAACAGCTTGTTGTTTTACTAGAAATATTCAGTTTCCTTTTCTTTCACTCTGCTAAAAATTTTGTTCTCTATTTCCTTAAAGAATGGTCCTATTCAAGTTTCTTGCAAGATCTTGGTTTGTAAACTCATCTCAAATGTCCTCTGCAAGGAATTGAATGAAAAAACAAGAATACCAGAATTGATACCGAGACATTAGACATTACCAGGAGCTCTGTCAAATGGAATAGATCTGTTAAACTACGCATGTCATGCACAATTCCGGAAGTTGAATTAGTTTCTAGGCCATACATGAAAGTCGAATTGAAGTCACCAAATCTGCAGAAAACAAATCCAAGTTCAGAATTATTATTGCATTTGAGATAAACAGGGCCATGGAGATATTAATAATATAGGACTCTCACATGCCAATAAATTCATTGCATGTCCATTCCAACCTTCATATCGGAGATGGGCACAGCTTTTAATCTATGCTTATTGCAAAGATAAGTACATTATCTGTTAGGCTGCTAGTATATTTCAGGCTTATTAGGTTGCTCCAAAATAGTAGTGATAAAGCATAAATTATGTTGCAAAATGATGAGAAAGATAAGATCCAACATGACACTGTATTTGAAATTTACAATTTTATAAACAATTACTTACTTTACAAGGAAATCATGTATGATAAAATTACACCATACAAACAACTGTTATGAGATAACAATGCCCTGCGGAGTGTAGTACTAACTAAATTTCTATTGAAGGGGCCTCACAAAATTCCAATCATTTTTTTTCCAGTTGATTGTAATGACAGAGCAGAAAAGTAGCTACTTCCTCTCTTGTGATTTATGTTGCACATCATCTTTCTGCCAAATTGCTTAGCATTTAAGTAGACTTTGAAATTAAGAAGATAATCAACGATCTGCAGCCTCAATACTAGATGTTTAGCATGAGCCAGAAGTTGTCATTTCTGAATTCTACTCCACCGTTCTCTAAGATTAAGTATTCCTTCAGCAGCTCATTTATTGGAGCTTCCCCAGTAACCTTCATCCCCACAAGTGCAGGAGCCATCCTTAAAATGGTGAAACTTTTCAGTATCTCTTACAGAAATCTCCCGACGCACAACCTTAGAGATAAATTTGATAGTATTGTGGCAGCTTTGGCACATGTAAAGGTTCTTAGTCACCCATATTGGCATCCCAGGAGCTGTATTAATGAGCCCAAATGCAACTGCTAGTCTCTCACTGTGTCCACAAAAAATCTCAGCTTTTGAAGCTTCAACTTCATCTGTAGGACTGCTTTCGGGCTCTCTGAATCCCACCGATCTCATTTTCTCATAAAATCCCTCCATAACTGCATTTAGTTCCTTTGTTTGAGGGTGGAAATTATCACCACTTAGGAAAGCATGAACCTTCCCCTTTACTTCCACCCAACTGCACCCAGGATCTACAGTCAGGCCCCTTTTCCTCATCATCTTTCTTACTATTGCAACTTCTTCCCACTTACCGCATTGAGCATAGAGATTACAGATAAGTACATAATACCCAACACTTTCTGTATCCATTTTTAAAATTTGATGAGCTGCAAGTTCACCAAGTTCAACCTGCTTGTGGATCATGCATGCATTCAACAAAGCTCCCCATATAGCTGGATCTGGATTTATAGGCATCTTCTGTATAAACTCGTGAGCATCATCCAATTGCCCAGCACAACCAAGTAGATTAACAACGCAAGCATAGTGCTTGAGATTAGGTGTGATGGAATAATTAAGTTTCATGCTTCTAAAATACTCCAAACCTTCGCCAACCATGCCAGACCTACTACAAGCACATAACAACGAAATAAATGTGATCTCATCTGGATCTACATGGGACTCAACCATACGGTCAAATAGCTCGATGGCATGCCTTCCTTGCCCCCTCTGTGCATAGCCAGTTAGAAGGATATTCCATGCTGCAACATCCTTTTTGTTATAGTTAAACTGATTCCATGCAGACCCCATCCTTCCACACCTTACATACATGTCTAGAAGCGCATTAGGTAAATAACCATCAAATGCTACACCAGTCCTTAATGCATGGGCATGAATTTCCTTTCCACACATCAAAGCTCCTATTCTAGCACAAGCAGACAGGACAGAAACCAAGGTAACAGAATTTGGTTTTAGACTGAGTTTCATTTGCCGAAAGAAAATCAAAGCCTCAAAGCACCGATTGTTGATCCGAAGGCCAAGTATGATTGAAGTCCAAGATATGACATTCTTTCCTGGGATGCCATGGAACACTTCCAAAGCCTTATCAACGCATTTACACTTAGAATACATATCAATGAGCGTATTGGCAACTATCACAGATGATATGAACCCAGTTCTGTAAGCAAGCTCATGAAGCTTCATACCCATATCTAAATGCCCTAAACAAGCGCAAGCAGATAGAACACTGGCTATGGTTATTTCATCTGGCATGATACCCTCTCGCTCCATCATTCTGTAGGTTTCCACAGCCTTGTCAGGCAGTGCATTATTACCATAACACGAAATCATTGATGTCCATGACACCACATCTTTATATTCCATTCTAGAAAAAACTTTTTCTGCTTCCTCAAAATGCCCAATGATTGAATACATCTGAATTAAAGCATTGCACACTGAAACATCCTCCGCAAACTCTGTTCTCATGACAAAACCATGGATTTCCCTCCCTAACTTACGGTCACCAAGAAGCTCACAAGCAGATATCAAGCTAGTCATAGTCATCAAATCTGGATAAACTGAAGATTCAAGCATCATGAGAAACAATCTCAATCCTTCCAAAAATTCTCCATTTTCAAAATACCCCGAAATCATAGCATTCCACGAGATCCTATCCCTCCTAGGCATTCTATCAAACAACATCCGTGCACTACCAACGGCACTGCATTTTACATACATTGTAATCAAAGCATTAACCACATCAACATCCGACTCAAACCCAAATCTAATTACGTGTACATGAATCTCCCTTCCCCTCGCCAAGTCCGGGACGCCCCCACAAGTCCTAAGAACACAAGGAAATGTATACACATCAGGCACAATCCCAACCCACAACATTCTGTGATACAAATTCAAAGCCTCATCAAAGAACCCAGCTTTCGCATACCCACCAACCAAAACATTCCAAGAAAACACGTCCCTCTCCCCCATTCTCCCAAACACATACCAAGCATCAACCAAATTACCAAACCTCACAAACATGCTCAACAGGGCATTACCAAGCTTAACACTCAAAAGGGTCGTGGAATTCGATACATAAGAGTACACACGAGCTCCTTCCTCGTGTGTTCTCTTCCACTCACACAGCCTAACCAAAGCAATGTAAGCATCTTCTTCCACTTTAATTTGAAGCTCCTGCATTGAATCCAAGAGCTTCAGAGCTTTTTCAAGGTTCCCATGGCGGCAAAGCTCGTTCAAATCGGAGTTTGGGTTCTGTGTGGAGATAGAGGAAGTGCTGCAGACTGTCATTTCTTGGGTTTTTCTAAAGGAAATTTGGTGGGTTTGGAGCTTGTGAGAGAAACCAAGGGTTTCGAGCTTGTGGGTCTTGGGGAATTGAGGATTGGGAAGGTGTTGGGTGTGAGGAATTTGAGAGCTTTGAGCTGAAACTGCCATTTTTGGACTCTGAGAGCATCGTCTTCCCAGAGGGTTTTGCATGAGGTTTAACGGTTAATGGATAATGGGACTGTATATTTTTTTTTAATGGACAAGAAATATTATCTTTTGTTGTCTGTTTAACTAACTTAAACTGCCACAATTTATGCAAACTAACACAAATTATAGACAAGAAAAGTATCTTTATGCAAGTTATCTTCAAGTGTTAAGCTGCAAAATTGTCACTGACTAAGCTGAGCTTAAAAGCAGCACGAGTCTAACAAGGATGAGATACGCACCACCACATGTACTTTGACTATAACAACTTTAGTTTGGCTCTTATGAATAAGATATTATTCTCCTAATAAGTTGAGGTTGAGGTGCACAAGTCAAATTTGAAATGTGTTTACTCACAAAGACAACTTATTATTAGGATGAGAAAAAAGTTATTAACCCCCAATTTCATGAGAAATTTTTATATAAAAAAATTATATATATATAGAAGTTAACTCCAACAAAAGAAAGCATTTATCTTTTCACCTACAATAAGAGTTAGCATCTGTAAAGGTAGATGTTAAATTTGGATTGATAGCTTCGGTGGCAATTTGACATTTAGTAAAAATTTTGAAGTAATATTTTTGACATCAAGTTTTATGAGATGTTAATTTTGACATATTCTAGCCTTGAAATTTTTGCAGGATTTCACCGCCCAGTTAGAGTGACTCTTTGTCATTTCATGACGACATGGCAACTAACACATCTCCTTTGGTCCTTTGAGATGGATGCTGTTACAAAGCAATAGTAGTCTTTTGTTTTTTTGAAAGAGAAAAAAAAAACCAGAATATAATGTAGAAGGTTGATATATTGTCTCAAACGTTGATTTACCCACTTCAACCTGTGAGGAAGAAATGACTTCTAATTGGAGTCACTTTGCCTTACATTTTTTTATTCAGTGAACTGACTTGGACAAAAACACTTCGACAGAAGATCCAATGCCTAAATCAGATCCTTCCTCCCTTCATAGTGGAGTTGAATGAGATGTGTTACATGAACTTCTTAATTAGAGATCACTTTGATCAGTTTTATTACTTCTCAGGGTCCAACACATTTAACAACACATTAGAAAGAAGAAGGGGAAAAAAAAAAGACCATCAATCCTCTACCCTAAGATAAAGAGTTTCTCCACTTTGGAGTAGCTCTAGCTCTAACCAACCTGGTCTTCATATCCATAGGCGTTTGTTTCCCATACTCAACATCCCCATCTCCACCCTCATTAATCTTCACCACACCCGTAGTCCTAAACGAAGGCATTATCCCTAAATTCCTAGTCCACTTGAAAATCCCAGCTTTCTTTTTCTCTTTCCTCTCTGCCTGCACTTGCATGGAACTGCACTGGCTTTGAAGCCTGAGCACCTCTTCTTTCAATTTCCTTATCTCCATTTGCATCGCATTCATTTCGCGCTTAGAGAGGCACCGAGCTGGGGCGTCAAGAAAGGGGTTTGGGCTTCTGGTGCTGGTACTGAACGAGCCACTCCAATCAATTTGCCTGTGAAGCTTGTTTTGCTCTGAGAAGAGGACTTGGATCACTGCCCGGACAGGCAGGCGTTCGTTTTGTGCAGCATGGAGAGATGCCTCTGGGGAGAGCTTTCGACAGTCGATTAGCCTACAAAGACTCTTTCGATCTTGCTTGGATACTCCAGGATGTGCCTGCCATGATGGAAGTTATATATTAAACTTTTGAATAATGGTTAGATTAGATATCCATGTTTCACATCAACCCAAGTTTCTGTAGGTAGCATACCATAGGTAATTTTGATAACATAAAATGTTATGTTATGTCGTTAGATTATTGATTTAGATCATACATTCAAATAAGAATCCACCTTCTAATTTTGCAATGTAACATATCGAACAATTTAGTGATATAACATTTTCCTCCACTTAAAAGCTCTAAATGTTAGAATATAAAAGTGTTTGATACTGAGTAAAGGGTAGGATGCTTCAATTGGACCAAAAAAATAATTCAATCATACAAATATGCACCTTTTTTCTCATGCTCGCTACTGAACAACAGAAAAACCAAATGCAGAAAGCCTTAGGGCCGGCCATTTCCTACCCAAAACAAAGGGCATTTATGTCAATTTACTAGTCCTATGAGAGAAGCCACCTAGACCCCTCTCAGATATCTTTGCTGGTGGTGACAAGACAGCCATGTCCTCAGGACCGACATGATAAGACTTAAGATTGTTTCTTAAGTCTTCTTCATGTACCATGTTCTTTTCGATAAAATATATGTATACTCATGCTGCAACATTTTTTTACCTAATTAATTCACATTTATCCCAATTAATTGTCAACTAATTAGGCAATTAAATCCATTAAATACCATAGACCTTACTTTGAGATAAGTATCAATGGCTCTGTACAACCCATCATCCGTGGCACGGGCGTGGCTAGGCACAGCTCCAGCAAGCGCCGCAAACTCATTCAAGCTCAAACATGCATCCATGGCGGCTTCAGCAAGATAACAATCCACAAGCTTTGCCACCTTGACCATGGCAGCTCCGCTCTTAGCAGTCTCATCCAAGTTCACAAACCTCTTCACCAACCTAATCACAAGCTCAACGTCCAGCAAAGTACTACACGTGTGACTAAAAGAAGGTATCATGAGCTCCTTCAACAAGGCTTGGTCCAGCTCCCACGATATCCTCTTTTCGAGCTCGGCGCGGTACGTGGCCTCCACCGCAACCATGTTGGCGGTGCGTAGGAGGCGGAGGAGGAAGTTGCATGGGATGGAGTCCTTCTCCGGGGGGAGGACGCCGACTAGGGTTTCGACGAAGAAGCGTTTTCGCATCCACAAGGCGGTGACGGATTCCGGGGAGGACTGTAAGCTAATTAGGCTTCTTTGGTCGGAGAGGGCTTCACCGGAGAGGTCCGGGAGCCATTTGGAGGCGTAGTGGGTGATTATGGAGCCGATGAGGTCGGGACGTACGCCTTTGGCTTTGATGCCGGCTAGGGTTTTGACAAAGTAGTCCATGTCGAGGATACATGCGTCATCGAACCAGCATTCGGCCGCAAATGGGGAGGGTTTTCCGGGGAAAGTGACGGATTCTTGCAAGTCTTGTTTTTTCGTCATTGCTTTTTTTTTTTTTCGGGTGCAACGGGGAAATGGAAGGGGCGGTTGG